TTCTGCGTGTGCAACTGTTTTGCACCCGTTGTATTTGAACGTAGAGCCTATCACACCCGATCATCACGTGGTGTCTCAGCACGAAGAACTTTCGCAACGGTGCATACTCAGGGAGAACACTTCTTGATAATTAGTGAGAGATCATCTTATAATGCTACCGTCAATCAAAGCAAGATAAGATGCATAAAAGATAAACATCACATGCAATCAATATAAGTGATATGATATGGCCATCATCATCTTGTGCTTGTGATCTCCATCTTCGAAGCACCGTCGTGATCACCATCGTCACCGGCGCGACACCTTGATCTCCATCGTAGCATCGTTGTCGTCTCGCCAATCTTATGCTTCCACGACTATCGCTACCGCTTAGTGATAAAGTAAAGCATTATAGCGTGATTGCATTGCATACAATAAAGCGACAATCATATGGCTCCTGTCAGTTGCGGATAACTCGGTTACAAAACATGTTCATCTCATACAATAAAATTTAGCATCATGTCTTGGCCATATCACATCACAACATGCCCTGCAAAAACAAGTTAGACATCCTCTACTTTGTTGTTGCAAGTTTTACGTGGCTGCTACGGGCTTAAGAAAGAACCAATCTTACCTACGCATCAAAACCACAACGATAGTTTGTCAAGTTGGTGCTGTTTTAACCTTCGCAAGGACCGGGCGTAGCCACACTCGGTTCAACTAAAGTTGGAGAAACTGTCACCCGCAAGCCACCTATGTGCAAAGCACGTCGGGAGAACCGGTCTCGCGTAAGCGTACGCGTAATGTCGGTCCGGGCCGCTTCGTCCAACAATACCGCCGAACCAAAGTATGACATGCTGGTAAGCAGTATGACTTATATCGCCCACAACTCACTTGTGTTCTACTCGTGCGTATAACATCAACATATAAAACCTAGGCTTGGATGCCACTGTTGGGTTTCGTAGTAATTTCAAAAAAATTCCTACGCACACGCAAGATCATGGTGATGCATAGCAACGAGAGGGGGAGAGTGTGATCTACATACCCTTGTAGATCGACAACGGAAGCGTTAACTTGGTTGATGTAGTCGTACGTCTCCACGGCCCGACCGATCAAGCACCGAAACTACGGCACCTCCAAGTTCTAGCACACGTTCAGCTCGATGACGATCCCCGGACTTCGATCCAGCAAAGTGTCGGGGAAGAGTTCCGTCAGCACGACGGCGTGGTGACGATCTTGATGTTCTACTGTCGCAGGGCTTCGCCTAAGTACCGCTACAATATTATCAAGGACTATGGTGGAAGGGGGCACCGCACATGGCTAAGAATATGATCACGTGAATCAACTTGTGTCTATGGGGTGCCTCTTGCCTCCGTATATAAAGGATCCAAGGGGGGGTGCGGCCGGCCCTAGTAGGAGGCGCGCAGGAGGAGTCCTACTCCTACCAGGAGTAGGACTCCCCTCCCTTTCCTTGTCCAATTAGGAGAGGGGAAAGGAAGGGAGAGAGGAGAGGGGGGCGCCGCCCCTCCCTCCTTGTCCAATTCGGACTAGGAGGAGAGGGGGCGCGTGGCCTGCCCTGGCAGCCCCTCCTCTTCTCCACTTTAGGCCCATGAGGCCCATTAACCCCCCGGGGGGGTTTCGGTAACCCCCCGGTACTCCGGTTTTATCCGAAACTTCCCCAGAACACTTCCGGTGTCCGAATATAGCCGTCCAATATATCAATCTTTATGTCTCGACCATTTCGAGACTCCTCGTCATGTCCGTGATCACATCCAGGACTCCAAACTAACTTCGGTACATCAAAACTCATAAACTCATAATATAACTGTCATTGAAACCTTAAGCGTGCGGACCCTACGGGTTCAAGAATAATGTAGACATGACCGAGACATGTCTCTGGTCAATAACCAATAGCGGAACCTGGATGCTCATATTGGCTCCTACATATTCTACGAAGATCTTTATCGGTCAGACCGCATAACAACATACGTTGTTCCCTTTGTCATCGGTATGTTACTTGCCCGAGATTCGATCGTCGGTATCTCAATACCTAGTTCAATCTTGTTACCGGCAAGTCTCTTTACTCGTTCTGTAATACATCATCTCGCAACTAACTCATTAGTTGCAATGCTTGCAAGGCTTATGTGATGTGCATTACCGAGAGGGCCCAGAGATACCTCTCCGACAATCGGAGTGACAAATCCTAATCTCGAAATACGCCAACCCAACATGTACCTTTGGAGACACCTGTAGAGTACCTTTATAATCACTCATTTACGTTGTGACGTTTGGTAGAACACAAAGTGTTCCTCCGGCAAACGGGAGTTGCATAATCTCATAGTCATAGGAACATGTATAAGTCATGAAGAAAGCAATAGCAACATACTAAACGATCGGGTGCTAAGCTAATGGAATGGGTCATGTCAATCAGATCATTCACTTAATGATGTGATCCCGTTAATCAAATAACAACTCTTTGTTCATGGTTAGGAAACATAACCATCTTTGATTAACGAGCTAGTCAAGTAGAGGCATACTAGTGACGCTCTGTTTGTCTATGTATTCACACATGTATTATGTTTCCGGTTAATACAATTCTAGCATGAATAATAAACATTTATCATGATATAAGGAAATAAATAATAACTTTATTATTGCCTCTAGGGCATATTTCCTTCAATATCACATGTAAAATAACATTTGTTCATATCGAAAATACATAGTTCAAACGTAAAATTGATTTCAAATGCACAATTCAAACATTAAACTCTTTGGTTCCTATTGTGGATCCGTGTATGCTCCACAAGATTATTGAGCACTTGCACTCGTGCACCTGATGATCTCGAAGACGATGATACACCTCCAAAAAAATTCAGAATATGATATGCACTTCATGGATGTAGATTTGTTCCTTAGACTTCTCAAAATCATGGTTCAGGCCACCCCTTCATGCTCGTCCTCAACAATCATATTATGCAAAATGACACAACATGTCATCGGCTGCCACAAAGTCTTTGATTCTCACATAATTGCAACTTCACGAACAATACCCAAACGAGCTTGGACCACTTCGATTTCCCCTCTCCACATTGTTCCTTGTCGCTTGTTGCATTGCTACAAAGTGGCTTTTTTGATGCAATAGGGATCGAATATGGTCTTTACAAATGCCACCCATAGAGGATATATACCATCAGCAAGGTAGTACCTCATGTTGTAATTGTGCCCATTACGGTGTAGTAGCACATGGTCACTTCCCCATTACAAAGTCTCCTGAACAATAGAGATCGTTAGAGCACATTGATGTCGTTGTGAGAACCAGGCATACCAAATCCACAAGTCTCTTGATGCCACTTTCTAGTATGATGGTGGCCTTTTGGCCTTGGCCTTTGGGGCAGGTTTTCCGTTATCAACGCATGCAATCAAATGAATCAAGCATACATGGAAAGCCTCTCGCTGCTCCAATAGCCATTAACCTTTCTATATCTTGCACATCCGGTCCCTCAGATACTTTGCTCCAAACACCTACACCAATGTGTGGGCAAATCTCACAACGGTCTTTAGGCATGTGCTCTCCCCATACAGACCATCTCACCAATGGCATCGACGACGGTACCTAGTGCCAGCATCCTCATACCAACAGTGCATTCCTGCTTAGCACAGAACGAGAATTTTCTGCAATAATCCCTGGTGAGCTTGAAGTACAGACCAGCGGTGCATTTCTGCTTAAAGTAGTCTGTGTAGAGCAGCCGTCCTCCAACGACCATATCTCGAATAAAAACTCTTCTCCCTTTGATCGAACCCTTGAAGTTCACAATGTGCTCCACCTCCCTGTCCATAGGATGCTCATGATCATCACCATCTCGGCGCATTCATCTGAATCCGACGAATCGAAGAACTCCTCTTGTATTAATTCATCAAGATCCTTGTTTTTATACCCTTCATCCGACGAACCTTCCGGATCCATTGTTTTGCCTATGAAAGAAGCAAAAAAATGCTCGGACAATTTGTCGAACACAAAGAGGGCAAGGTGCGGTCCGAGAATAGCCAGACATACCACAACGACATCTGGGGCAGCGACAGATTCCGAAGCAGCGAGACTGGCGGGAAGAGTTGTGCAGCGGCGGTGGTGGCGTTGAGGGGTTGGGATAGCGGAGGAGCTAAGGTAGGCTCGGCGCGAACGAGGAAGAAGAAATGAGAGAAAAGGGCTGGTTCGGCAAAGTCGGGGAGATTTGATGAAATTTGTGGGGGAAGGGGGGTCATGTATGTTGGATCCGATGTGGCGGCCGCGCGTCGGGCACGTATGTGCCTCCTCATATCCGTCGAAGATTTGAGCTGGATATGCAGGTGCCGGTCAGTCCAAACATATAGGGCCAGTTTAAAAAGTTTGGCTGGGTCATAATTATGATCGGTCACTGATTGGACCGTCCGCCTAGATATATATGGGGCATTTAAGGAATCCTTGATGCTATAACATGTGTCCAAATTGTGGCCCAGCAACAAACGAAAATCGGTTGCAAGGTTTGAAAAAAGAAAGACGAAATCGGTTGCAAGCAAAAGAAGGGTCAGTCGGGCTCAAAAGAAAAAAGAAAAGGCCAGTCCAATTCAAGCCAACCCAAGGCAGCACAACTTTCTTTTCTTTTTTGCAAGGAATTGAGAGCTTTTATCATTCAATCAAAGGGGCTCCGGCACTATCAGCCATAAGGCTAGTGGCCAAAAAGCTAGAAGGGGAGTCCATTCAACACTCTTGTCACCTCTATTGTGCAGGCATGCTTTGCATGTAGATGGACGGAAATATTGACGTGTTGACGAATAACAAAATAAGTAGAAGAAGAAGCTAGCCCTTCAATACCAAGCCAGCACATCTGCACAAGTAGCGGCCAAACTGGACGGACGGTCGTCGGTTGTGCCTGACAGCAAAACCGGTCTTTAAATACACACAAGCCTGCCTCCCTCCCGGTTCCTGCCTCGCACACCCTTCACTTCGAGAGCACGCACGTACCACAGGCACAGGAACAGCAACCATGGCTGCGCAGCCGGCCGAGCGGTCGTTCGACGTGATCGTGGTGGGCGCGGGCATCATGGGCAGCTGCGCGGCGCACGCGGCGGCGTCCCGGGGCGCGCGCGTGCTCCTGCTCGAGCAGTTCGACCTGCTGCACCAGCGCGGGTCGTCGCACGGCGAGTCCCGCACCATCCGCGCCACCTACCCGCAGCCGCGCTACCCGCCCATGGTCCGCCTCTCGCGCCGCCTCTGGGACGACGCGCAGCGCGACTCCGGGTACGCCGTGCTCACGCCCACCCCGCACCTCGACCTGGGCCCGCGGGACGACCCGGCGTTCGTCGCCTCCGTCGCCAACGGCGGCGCCACCTTCCTCGCCTCGGCGGCGGACGCGCCACGCCCATCGTGGGCGGATGCGTTCAGGGTGCCCGACGGGTGGGCGGCGGCGAGCAGCGAGCTGGGCGGGGTGATGAAGGCGACCAAGGCGGTGGCCATGTTCCAGGCGCTGGCCGCCAAGATGGGCGCCGTCGTGAGGGACAGGACGGAGGTCGTCGACGTCGCCAGGAAAGGTGAGTAAACCGACAGAGCGCGGCCGTGTCGCACGCTCGCACGTCTTCATTCTTCGTCTCACCTCCAACCAATTTCCTTGGAAGCATTCGATCCACCGGCTCCTGCATGTGAGCCGGTGCCGTGCCGAGCGGCTGAGTCAGCATTTTCATGGACCATCCCTGGTCTGGCATCTTATACAGATCATGTCCTGATCTGGCCATCTTCACAGAGCAAATTTGTCCGCACCTATGAACTGTCGCGCCATATCAATAATTTCCACTTCCTTACATGCAAGGGGGAGCACTTTGAGTAGTGTACAATGATTGCTGTTTTAGTCGGAATCGTCGTACCTTCCCGTGTCCAAAATAATGAGCAAGAATATCTTGCTTTATAATCCCATTTGTCATTTCTTAAACGAAAGTAGTATCTCCACTTGTCACGTCACATCACATGTAGTTTGCTTCATTACACTTCGGTTGGTGCACATACTACAGGCCAACGGAGTAGTGGCTAAAAATATTGCAGCAGGTTTTCTCTAAAGAATCAACTAATTGTTTAAGACCGCGAGCACAGCTGGCGCCGTCAAGTGCTTCAAAAAGATTCTTATCGTGAAAAATAGTTTTCTAAATAATTAAAAAAAGTGATTTCAATCATTGATGATGCACCAAAAAGATTCTTGCACTCATACCTCCATAATACGTGCAAATTGGTAAGTGAAATACACACGAAGTGCAACCCATATTAAGTGGCAGTAAATCTTTCGAGCAGGAGAAGGAACGACGGCGACGATCGTGGTGAAGACAGCTACCGGCGAGGAGTTCCACGGCGGCAAGTGCATCATCACCGTCGGCGCGTGGACGAGCAAGCTGGTCAAGTCGGTCACCGGCGCCGACCTGCCCGTGCAGCCGCTGCACACCCTCATCTGCTACTGGAAGGTGAAGCCCGGGCACGAGCGCGAGCTCACGACAGAGGCCGGCTTCCCGACGTTCGCGAGCTACGGCGTCCCCTACATCTATAGCACGCCGTCGATGGAGTACCCGGGGCTGATCAAGATCGCCATGCACGGCGGGCCGCCGTGCGACCCGGACGGCCGGGACTGGGCCATCGGCCCGGGGGAGGACGGGCTGGTGGAGCCCGTGGCGCGGTGGATCGACGAGGTGATGCCGGGCCGCGTGGAGACCGCGGGCGGGCCGGTGGTCCGGCAGGCGTGCATGTACTCCATGACGCCCGACGAGGACTTCGTGATCGACTTCCTGGGCGGCGAGGAGTTCGGGAGGGACGTGGTGGTCGGCGCCGGGTTCTCCGGCCACGGGTTCAAGATGGGCCCGGCGGTGGGGAGGATCCTGGCGGAGATGGCGCTGGACGGCGAGTCGGGGACGGCCGCGGAGGCCGGCGTGGAGCTCCGGCACTTCAGCATCCGGCGGTTCGACGGCAACCCGACGGGGAACGCCAGGAGTTTCTGAGTCGAGCCAAGGATGGATGCTTGAGCCAAGTGTGGTTGTGTGTAATTATGGTCCTTATGTCGACGTGTTAATTGTCGTGATTTGCCGATTGGTACTCTATATGTTTGCCAAATAAGCTGTGCACCGTGTGCACCTTTGGAACAGTGAAGTAGTAATTATTTTGTGAGCTTTGGGACAGTGAAGTGACCTATCGTACGTATGTACGTTGTGATGCAGATTTTTACCTTCCATATTGGCACGCGGGAAATAAATACTGGTCATCTCGGTCGATCTCCGTCTGGGCGTACTGTGCGTGTGCCGGAGATACCTTGAGGAATATGCATCTTCGCACAGCTCCAAGCCAGTTTGTTGGTTCTGACGCCACGTCTACGGTCTGGCCATATATCGATCCTATCCATGCAATGCAATGCATGGGAGGACCATACAAACACATGTGTGCAGATGTGCCACGGTCGATGGAGCTAGCTAGCAAGATCAGCTCATGACTCATGGCCGAGTCAGTGGTCAGTACTACACATTAACACATACAATCACATGTGATCCTCTCTCTAATGATAATGATTGATGTGCACGATGCGCCACGCCAATCATCGTCAGGCCTATGTATGTACTGTACGTACATCTCTAATAAGCCCACATGCAAATTAGCGCGAATTATTGATCACTCACGCGCTGCTGCTTGTCCTATGAGGCGCAGCCAGCTAGGTAGGGGGTCACAGCTGGTCGATCTGCTCCCCGCCCATATCTCCATCGACCGTGGTTCGTACGTGGAACCCTTCCTCGTCCTTATCATTAGGATTAGGAGGTAGTACAGAAATATCTCATGAGATTGAGAGGTATCGACCGATCTGGGGCGAGTGACCTGTCTCTGCGTCCGCACCACTCGCAAGTGCATGCCAAGACACGTACTACTCCTAGTCACGGATGCTGATGGTCATGTCGTTTTCTACGTCCACATCACACTAGACGTACGTATGGACACCGTTCACTCACTTGACCTGGACTAGAACAGGCACATGGCCACCGTACCGTTCACTTGACCTGGAAGTCTAGAACGTATTCAATCCCAAGCCCGTCCATGTCACTGCTTCTAGAAGCAAACACATGCATTTCCAAGATCAGATTCCTATTCTTCTTCTCAAGATAAAGGAAGAGAGGTCCTCCTAAGGATATTCTGGATTCTTCTAGTTCTAGAGATAGCTCACCACACATGGATAATAAGTTCATGTTTTTCCAAATGATGATGAGGCTGTGAATTACCTGAAGCTTTATTATTTCCTCTGAGCCTTTGCAATTTGGAACATTGGTTTGCTCTCTCTTTCCACTATCGTTTTCCAGCAAAAGGAAGCCACGTCCTCATTGGCCCTGTTTGGATACTCTAACACAGTTAGAGTTAGAGTTATTTTCTAACCCACTCTAACCCAAATAAGTACCTCTCCACTGGGATAGTTGGGTTAGATGGAACTAACCCAGTCTAACCCTCCCTGTTTGGATACTTTTGGGTTATTTGAGCCCCAAACTAACCCAAACTAGCTCTAACCCCATGATCCAAACAGGGCCATTGTTGAATATTTGCTTCGAGAATCCCATATTCTCCGCCTGCTCAAATAATAACCTCAAGCGAAGACAATAAACGAAGGGGATGACACCAGCACCTCCGCGAAATACACAAACATAAAGCTTCCAAAGTAAAATTGTGCTTCCGAGTTGGGACAGGACTCAAATTTTGGTTCCGCACATGGTGCAGTTTCAAGAACTCACAGCCGACATCACATTGCACAAAGCTTCCATGATTTACCTTCTTGAACGGGAAACGACATGGGCCAAGAAGACGAGAACCCTGCCCAGCGAAAAAAAATACCCCCTGACGTACAAAACTGGCAGTTGTGTTGCCGTAGATCCCTACTTATTACCTAGCCCAGCAAGAGCCCATGTAAAGAGTCCATCCATGCGCACATAATAACTTGCTTATGGAAAATGTAACAGCAGACAGCATCTATTTAGCGTTTTCTTGCTTTGGAGGAACCTCAGCTGTTGTTGCACTCGCTTGGGTGTCGACAGGCTCCACGGCACTGGCCTCGGCTTTCCTCGTCTCGATTTCTCTTTGCATTTGTATTTGTCCTCGCATTACTTGGAGCATCTCCTTCATTTGCTTCTCTTCTTTCTCCAATTGCATGTCTGTTAAGATCTGAGCATTCTTGTCGATCGGTTTGAAATACTCATCTATGGCAGTTTCCTGAAAAGTAAGATAAAAAGAACGAATTGCAAGTCATTACACAAGTTGTTTGTATAAAATCAAGTGGCATTTCAGTTTACTGCCAGCGATCCTATATCGGAAACATAAACCAAAAAGTAAGTCTATTTTGGGAGTTACAGAACAAGCATGTTTCACACACATCAAACAGAAACAAGCCACTGTATCGTTCATTTGTTCTCCAAAGGCCGACAGCATGATCGCTGCCTCTTTTTTAGTTGTGAGATTGCACATAAACTACACCCTCTGAACTAAAACCATGACAATAATTATGGAATGGAGGGAGTAGTAAATAATTTCTCAGAATGCAATACACATTTCCTGGGCAAGTGTTGGGTAATTAACTATAAATTTGCAGTACAATGCCTTACAGCTTCTTCGAGGTGCTGATTGAGAGCTTGCATCTGCTGAACCACTTGACGAACCTCTGACAGAATAACTTGCTCTGGTTGTTTCTCAATCTCCTTCTTCTTAGCCTGAGCCTGAATAAACAGTACTGAAGTTTAACTGATATTGCAATTAAGTACAATATTGGTCCTTACAGATGATTGGTGATGTCACCATGAATAATCAACCATACGTACTACCTGGAAAGGACGATCTTATCTGCAAGCTAGTGTAGTAGTTTCCTGATATTAGTTTAAGATATTCTAGTGAGCAATAGTTCAATACTCCCTCCGGTCCTTTTTAGTTTGCATATAAGATTTGTCTGAAGTCAAAGCTCGTAAACTTCGACCAAGTTTATAGGGAAACATTCAGAATGTGAAATCAGTAACATTAGATGCGTCATGACTTTAGTTTTCATATTGTATAAATTTAGCATTGTATATGTTAATATTTTTTCATATAAATATGAGTTTGACTTCAGACAATTCTTATATGCAGAGTAAAAAGGACCGGAGGGTGTACAAGAGACAGTATACAGACGATTGAGGACTTCAAGATTTCAGTGCTAAAATTAGAATAAATAACTTTAGCGCTAAGCGACACCCAAATATGCCCTACAAAGCTACAACATTAGTTTGCGTGACTGTATGTAAATTTTGACCATCAAGAAAACACTGATACTTCCAGCAACCAGTGTACCCATATCAGATACCGTGTCCGATACTGATTCTTTCCCAATATGTCCCCGATACCTCTCAGGCTCTACTAGTGCCTGTGGTGGACGCCTTTCTCGGTGCTCCCACTCCCCTTCCCCCCACTATCCTGTATAATTCTATCTAATGGAAGGCTGCTGATTTCCTCCTCCTCCTCCCTTTCTCTCTAACTGAACTTTTATGTTTGGTGAACCCGTTGGCTGTTGGTTCTTGCTTTTGTTGGAATAATGAATAAAAAGATAGAAGATAATGGACTGCAGTGACTAAATATATGCTAAATGGCTTGAGGCTTATTGATAGCATATTTTCTATATTGTTTTCAAAAATAGTCAAACTTATCCCCATATTGGCGCTTTTCCGAAATGATGTATTTACGTAACCATAATTACATATCACTCCGATACTGATCAGCGTATCCTTATCAATGCAATCTAGTTGACTATAAACATAATTTGGAACATATAATGTGTTCTTTACATGATAGCGCCACATCATTGCTAAAAGAAAATTAAGTACCTGACAAGTTCTGAAGTTCATAAGTCTAACACCGCCACTGGTTAAGGGTGCAAAGAGAAAAAACGGGTGCAGTGCACCCGGCATACACAAACAACAAGAATGACACAAGAATTGTGGCAGCAACTCACAGTAAGACAGGTCATAAGGACAAATGCCTTCCTATCTTTGTTTAATGATAAAAATTATCAACATAGAGTTAAAAAAAATAATTCTGAAGGGGAGCCTTGGCGCAGTGGTAAAGCTGCTGCCTTGTGACCATGAGGTCATGGGTTCAAGTCCTGGAAACAGCCTCTTACAGAAATGTAGGGAAAGGCTGCGTACTATAGACCCAAAGTGGTCGGACCCTTCCCTGGACCCTGCGCAAGCGGGAGCTACATGCACCAGGTTGCCCTTTTTTTTTTTCCTTATGCCACTCTAGATTTTGACATTTCACTTTTGCCACTCTTAGTTTTTGACAATTATCTAAATTGCCATTCCGGTGGCAAAAGCAAAATTTTCGGAGTGGTAATTGTGATACATTTCAAAAGCTAAGAGTGGCAAAAATGAAATAAAATTATTTTGCTTTTGCCACGGAGTGGCAATTGTGATAATTGTCAAAAGCTAAGAGTGGCAAAAGTGAAATGTCAAAATCTAGAATGGTATAAGGAAAATTGGCAAAATCTAGAGTGGCAAAAACAAAATTTTCCCTTTTCCTAAACTTCCTATCTCTAACAGTCTAACATAGCATACGCAATGCCTTCATGGATATGCATATCTCCTGCAGCCCTGTGCACCCACGACCACAACAGTTACAAAGTTGATCAGATATGTGGTGTGCTTCTAGAGGGTTCCTAACCATTACAACCCAAAGTAACTTGCAAGATAATTCAGTGTCCAGGGAACAAACAGTTGTGGTAAGATGCATTACACTAACTAAAGGAGATGGCTAGTTGAAACAGCGACATTTTCCCCCAGACATGACCAACAGAACAAGCCGGACAACTGATACTCATTGTGAGTTCCATACTAAATGAGCAAAGTTATTCGCACAACACTCCTTTTTTTTCTAATACTAAGCAGTTCTCATTTACAGCCATGTCAAACAACTTAACGAGAAGAACACGAATCCAATTCAACACCAAGTGTATGTCAGCCCTACTGAAATTAAGAGCGCAAATCACACGCCGGGAGGCCAACCCTATCCCAATTCCAAGAGATCCTCCAAAACAAAACAGCCACTAGAAGCCTAGAAGATTCATTGTAGTCTTGGAAGGCCGGTGAATGATGTTTCCCTAAAATTGAAAGAATAGATAGGAGTACATATCAGAGAAATGGCGGACCCAGCCTTTTTCTCACCTGCTGGAGGCGCTGCTGCAGCTGCAGCCTGTAGGACCGGATCCTCCTCTCCTCGTAGCCGGACATGACCCGCACCACGAACCACGCCTTCTTCCCGAACTGCACCAGCTTGTCCATCCCGCCCGTGGACCAGCGATCCGCGCGGCAGAGGCGGCCAGAGACTGCGGGCGGGGAACGCGGTGTCCCGACGAGGAAGAGCGGGGACGGCGATGGCGGCGACGCGTGAGCGGCGGGGCTGTCCCGAGGCGGTGGGGCGTGGGATCGAGGCGGCGGCGGCCGGCGGGCGGGGCGCGGTGGTCGAGTGTCTGGGCAGATTTGCGGCTAGTTGGATTGTGACCTCGCCGGTTTGCCTGGGAGTGGCCTGGAGATGCTCGCGGAATTGCCTAGCCAGGCAGGCGGTACACTGGCAAGTGGGCCCCCTAGATATGTTGACCATCTGGGCATTGACCACAGGTTCTACTGTGGATTATGAAAGTGAGCGAACTGGGTGAAAATAAACAAAACTGGCCCTTATCTAAAACTTCAACACAAAATGATCCCAAACTGAAAATATTTCATGAAATGACCTTCTTTTGCATGACGCCCGCGACTAGGACGCCATGCTAGAGAGCATGACACCCCGGGCTAGGACGCTATGGTAGTGACATGTAGCATGACGCCTCGGTCTAGGGCGCCATGTCATATAGCATGACGCCCTACCCCGGATCGTCATGCTATCTAGCATGACGCCCTAGCTCCGGACATCATGCAAAAAGGGCCATTTTATGAAATATTTTCAGATTGAGACCATTTTGTGTTGAAGTTTTAGATAAGGGTATTTTTGTCCATTTTCACGCGAACTGGTGACCGTATGTCTGTATCGGATATATTTGTGTTTAGTACTACCTCTCCAAACTAATATAAGAGTGTTTAGATCACAAAAAATATATTCTCTTAGTTTACGAAGGGAGTAATTGTGTGACTGTATTTGTGCAGTTTCCGATCGCGTCAGAAGGATAAGTTCAGTGATCCTGAACTGCATGTATCGTTCTTTTTCATCGCGAAAAAAAGAAAAGAATGTATCGTACTTTACACAGGATTCATCCCAGGTTTTCGACAAATGAGTGTGTATACTGCACACACGTACCAACTCGCACAGATTAGGGCGTTTTTCTTTTGTCCCTTCAACCTTAGCAGCCATCAGGAGAGGCCATCTTTCAGCACCGTTCTCTGGCGGCTCCCCTCCATCGGCGACCTCAGTCGTTGGTGGTGAGGGGAGTCGCGTGGCAGCGGCATCCTCGTGGTGGACTTATGTCCTCGGGCTCCGTTGTTGCGACGGCGTTTGCTCCAGCGTCGGCGTGGAGCTTGGGATGTAGTTCGGGAGCGGATGCAGATTGTGGTTTGCATCGACGACATCTGGAAGACAGAACGTGTGTCGGCTTTGTGATTCGTGGATGGTAGGTATGGTTTTCTTCTTCGGGGTCTTAGTCATGTTGGTGTGTCAGATCTGGAGTTCGATGGCGTGTCTGGGGTGTTGCCCCAGTCTGATTCGTTCAACGACAATGGCTTCACTTTTGGTGAGCCACCTTGGAGGTTCGCAAAGCTGCATATCAGCGATGGAGCCGCGTCGAGCTCGGGTGAGGAGGTGGTCTATCATTATTTTCTTCGATGACTGCTGTGGTGGTGCCGGAGGCAGGTGACGAACATTGATGTCAAATTCGGAGATGTTATTCTATCTTTTTAGTTTTGTTACGTCGGTCTTTACGTGACTTGTATTTTGTTTTTTATGATATGAATGGAATATGTATTATAATGAAAAAAATTGAACACACGTCCTGTCGAGAGGTAATCCACGGGAGGTATAAGTGCCAACTATTGTACTAACTTGTAAGCGATCTCAGGAGTTCAACAATCACAGTAAGACGGATCCGATCTTTACTATTAGTGGCCTAGCATCTGCTGTAACTAATCAACTAAATGGTATGGTAAGTTGGAGATCTGCAAACATGTCCACGAAGGATGAAAACAAGTTTGGATCGTGCAAACATCCAAGGCATGAATGAAAAGCCCTTCTCGATCTGTCCGTCCGTCTATTCTAGGCTGCATTAAGCCATCTCCAGCCGCGCCCCCAACAGACCCTCTCAGGCCATTTTTTCGGCGCCGGCGCCGAAAAAACGACCCAGTCGCGTCCCCAGGACGCCGAAAATCGCTGGTTCGGATCGTTTTTCCGTCCGGTGGTCAGAGGACGAACCCGGCGCGCTGGGGAGCAGTTGGGGGCTCCGGCGTTAGGGAAAAGCACGCCTGGCCCATACCGATAGGGGAAAAGTCAAGGTTTTCTTTCCCCGACTCGCCTCGCACCCCCCGCGCCCTCGGCCACCACTAGCTATATCCCGGCGACGGCCGCCGCCCTACTCCGGTAGATAGCCATTCCCCGCCGGAAAATAGCAGCGCTTCGCCGCGGCAGCCCCTCCCATAGCAGCTGGGCGTTTCCGGCCGCCGTTTCCGGCCGCAGAGGCGCGGTTTAACGGCGGGTACACACCCACCGAGCGCAAGGTGTTCGGCGTTTTGCCTGTCTCGGCGATGGACTCGGATGAGGAGGAAGAGCTCGCCGCGCTGCTGGAGGAGGAAGCCGCGACCGACGTCCAGGAAGAAGAGCATCTCATGGTGCTCGCCGCCCTCGCCCAGCTGCTGGCGAGCAATGAAAAGCCGCGGCGAGGTGGCTCGGCGCCGGGGCGGGTGAAAGCAAAGAACCGACATCGTCTCCAAGTCTACTGCATGCTCTACTCCGACTACTTCGCCGATGCTCCACTTCATGGCGAGAGAACATTTCGGTGCCGTTATCGGATGAGCCGAAAGCTCTTCCTCAGGATTGTGAATTCCATCCGGGAGTTCGACAACTACTTCAAGTGCAAGATGGATTGCACTGGCGCTCTTGGATTCACCTCCATCCAGAAGTGCACGACAGCGATGAGGATGCTTGCATATGGAGCTCCCAGTGATTCACTCGACGATTATGGGCGCATGGCCGAGTCCACCAGCATAGAGTGTTTCTACAAGTTCTGTCGGGCAGTGGTGGCAGTGTTTGGGCCACAATACTTGAGAACACCCAATGCGGAAGACACTGCTCGGATCCTAGCCCAGAATGCAGCAAGAGGATTTCCTGGGATGCTTGGAAGCATCGACTGCATGCATTAGAAATGGAAGAACTGCCCATTTGGTTGGCAGGGGATGTACAAAGGCGCCAAAGGCGGTTGCAGTGTGGTGCTTGAGGCGGTAGCCACACAGGACCTCTGGATTTGGTACTCCTTCTTTGGTATGCCAGGAACTCACAATGACATCAACGTGCTGCAGTGCTCTCCTGTTTTTGCCAAGCTCGTTGAGGGCCATTCTCCTCCGGTGAACTTCGAGATCAATGGGCACCAATACAACAAGGGGTACTATCTAGCTGACGGCATCTATCCGAGATGGTCGACATTTGTGAAGACGATCTCAAACCCTGTGGCAGGAGGCAAGAACGCCTGGTTTGCGAAGTTTCAGGAGGCTTGCAGGAAGGATGTCGAGCGGGCATTTGGTGTGCTCCAATCTCGATTTGCTGTTGTTCGGTACCCCGCTCAGACCTGGTCCAAAGATCAAATGTGGGAGATTATGACTTGCTGTGTCATCTTGCACAACATGATCATCGAGAGCGAGCAAGAAGACTCAGTGTTTGACACTGAACCATACTACAGGCAGGGTCCTCTAGCCGAAGTTGATCATCAGCTACCGGCAACTTGGACTGCCTATCTTAGTATGTGTCAGGAGATCCGAGACCCACTGATGTATCATCAACTGCAGAAAGATCTGATTGAGCACCTATGGAGGCTCAAGGGGGATGCCGTGTGATGAAATACGAGTATTTGTTTGTTGAACTATATAATTTGTATTGAACTATTTGTTGTTGTACTATTTTGTTGAAGTATTTGATTTTTCTGTGATGAAATATGTGATAAGAAATAATTGTGCTGATAATTGAACGCCGAGACACGGCGAAACCACGTCGAATATAGACCTATTCTCGTCCATATGGACCCTTTATTCGTCGAAATTGGGCTGCAAGATGGATCAATTTCGGCGCCTGAGGGCGAGCTAGGGGCGACGAGTGGGCGCAAAACCACCCTCAGCGCCGAGTGTATCGCCGGCTCGCCCCCAAAGAACGAT